TTAACTAAAAACAAAGTCTACCAACTGAAACAGAAAATAATGTTTAGATCATGGCCGCACTTCAACATTTTCAATAAATTTTAAATCACTTAAAACGAATATTTGTAATTTAAAATATTGAATCAAATGTATAAAAAAAAAGGGCTTAGCCGAGCCGAGCCAAATGGCTTGACAACGACTCGGCTCGGCTCGGCTTATGAACAGTATTGGGAAAAGTGAGTCTTTTATTTATTTAGAATTTAGAATTTATCGATCATATATTTATCATGACCATACTTCATTATTTCCAACAAATTTTAAATCGCTTAAAACGAATATTAGTAACTTAAAATACTGAATCAAACGTTAAAACAAAAGGCTTAGCTATGCCGAGCCAAGCCGAGCCATCAAGCCATTTGGCTCGGCTTGGCTTATGAACAGTTTGGGAAAGTGAGTTTTATTTATGTAGGAAAAGAAAATATTGATTTGACCTGTATACGGGACCAAAAATGTAGACGCTAAAGAAATTAATACTAGTTATTCAAGGAATTTATAACTGTTGAAGTCAACGTCCGTGTTTATTGGGGTTTCAATTGTATAGGAAGTAATAATTATATATACTTATTAAATATATATATTTTTTGTTTTAATAGAGATGGGTTGGACCGTCTCAAACAGAATAAAAGAAAAAGACAAGTAAAATATTTGAACAATATTTGATCTGAAGTGTTGAATTGTAACCTTCTATTGAAAATTAGCATTTTAGTTGAAGAAGACTTTAAAGAAGTCAAAATATGGATTGAGAATTTTGGGACAGAGATTTGACGTCTAAATGCCAATTGGCTGCGAAAGTCGGATTTGCGACAGAGATTCAGCGCTGGAGCACCAAACGAAGTGGTCCCTCCACTCGCTGTCGACGAGGTTGGGTGCTCGAGTGCCGCTGGCTGCGCTCGAGCTGATTTGCAACAGAGATTCAACGTTGGAGTGCCAAATAAAGTGTTGTCCCGCCTCTCGCTGTCGACGAGGTTGGGTGCTCGAGTGCCGCTCACTGTGCTCGAGTGCCGATGTTATCTAATCCAATCCTGTTTCGCAATTTGACAAATTTTAAGATACTATTTCCATCTATAACATTATAATTATAGTTTGACATGTATCTATATATAGTTGACTCTTCAGTTTAAAATATTGTATTCTTTCACCTTATATTGAATTCTCCCCTTCTCTCCGTAGTATTTTTCCAGTAAATCTTGGTGTTCTTGATTGTTATTTTTATTTTATCATATTACTCTCATTTATTAAATCTAACAGGCAATATCAAAGCAATTTGGTATCGCTTGTTTTATAACAATATGTGCATTCAATTCATTACAAGTGAAATGAAAAATAAATATTCAAGTTGAATATGGAAAGAATTCAATTACCACCAAGTCTTTGATATGCCTAAATATGCTCCAAATAATATTTTATTTGTTAAATTGTCCGATTGAGCGAAATTGCATTTTTACTAGCCTAATAACTAGAAACCAATAAAGACAAATGAAATGTAATTATTAATAATCTCTTAAAGGAACAAAGATGACCGAAATCTACATCTTCACCAACCCCACAAGATTTTGTGTTTGAGCTCCAACTAATCGAGATGCAAAAGCAAATTTTAAAACCTTTTTTTATGTTGAAATCGAATATTGACTTTTGTACACATGATGTATGCATGAAGGAAAAAGTCATGAGCACATAAAATGCTCGACAGAATTCTTATCGATTTTAACATTGCAGCAAACAATTGCACAATTTTTTTTTTTTTTCCTATTTCCATCTTTCAATCAATTCCCACTATGTATTGTCTGTCGAAATTTTCTGTACTAGTAATATTGTTACATAAATTAATCTATGAAATATAAAGAATTATTTTCATATTTTTTAGTTCTTTTTACCAACTTTAGGTCCGAACATATACAAAATATGAACAAATAACTCATCAATTGACTTTTCTTCCTCAGTTAAATTAAAATCGTTGACTCTAATTTATTTGACTCGAGAGCTGAATATTGAAGAAATAGTACGTGGGGAGGCGTGGAGTGGAGGCGTCATGGCCGTATAATAATAAAAATTATTTCCAAATTATATTGCAGCTTATTTTGAAACTAATTTTATTTTATTGTATATATTTTTAACTAACAAAATATTTTTTAAAGCATATTGCTTGCTCAAATTAGTTTCAATTACCTTAGTCACTTTATATAATATATTTCAATTCCCAATGAAAGAGAAATAGTACCTGAGAGAACGTAAATTATGTAGAAAAATGTTGAATGTACAGAACTGTTCATGCCAGAAGTTTTACAGAAGTCACATGGATGTGGGTCCCACCTGATTTAAATATTATTAAAAAAAGCGAGCCACACATGTTTGTGTCTTCCCGAGATTTTTTCGTTCATGTACCGGTAGAAATGCAAGACCTAAAATTCGACGACTTTTGAAGTTGTTCTTACTGAACAACTTAAATATAAACTTTAATTCGTACGACCAAGTAATATGGTATAGAGTTAGTGTGAATGCATTGAAGTGAAAGAAGGTAGAAGCCCTTTTCTTTGATCAATTGATCAAAGCTGATGATTATTGTTTCCTAAATATTGGTAAGAAAATCATTCAAACAATTGTACTCGTGCGCATGACATGTTTGATCTTAAAATTTGCGGCGTAATATTCATCACTACAGTTCGGTTTTGAATTAAAGACATTAAAAATTTTGAATAGACGTCGGCAATAACACGTGTAAAACGAAGAAGATTATTTCAAGTAAACACTTCAACATAACGTCCAAATTATGAAAGACGGAAATGCAAACAACTAGAAATAATTATAAAAATATCTAGCAGCAACATTGATACTTTTGAGTCTTTGCCATAATCCTTTGAAATAAAAGAACAAGCCAAAAAAACAAAAATCTTTCATGTTAAAGTAAACAGTTCCAAACTCTTTTGTCTGATCCTTGCATTTATGAAATTCCATACAGCCCTAACCATGGCAAAATCTACTGGGATTTGAACTTTTCTAAGGACTTTACTATTCAATCTTGTCTTGAGCTACTCAGGCAGAAGCAGATACTACAATCCTCGTCCAAGTATGCTTGGAAAAAAGCTATCCCTCATAAAATTTCCTTTTTTGCATGGAGAGCGTGGCATAATTGGATTACAGTGGATAATAACCTTAAATACAGAATAGGCTTCCTGCTTCTGCTTGCCTCAAGATGCCAATGTTGTGAGGCTGAGGACCATTGAGCATGATCTACTGGATGGTAAAGTGGCTATACATGATAGGCTTGAGAGTTATTGTGTTAGGAATTTGGAATTCCACCAAGAACATTAATTCAGCTGACCAATTCTTCTCTTTCAACTCTGGAGATTTTCTCAAACATCACTTGGTAGGTTCGGTTCTTCCATCGTCCCTTTTTATTATTACAAGACAAAATCCAGAAAATAAAAAACTCAAGAACACCTCAACAAATTTCCCGTAATTTCAAATCTGTCATCAAAGTAACACAAATTAAGGCTTAGAATATTGTACCCTTCTGTTTCATTTCAGAAACCTTAACCCCTGGACCAAAAAGAAAAAGTCGGAGTTGTTGCTATGTACTAGAAAAGACTCGATTTCACCTAACACTCATTTGAAGAACACTCTCAAAGATGTGTTTATCTTACAACAGAACCAAGAACCTCCCAATCAGAAGTTGAAGATTGCATGTTTGAGTACCATTAAAATATTAATAATACATTTTGGAATAGTACATTAATGGAGAATGTGTGGTTAGCCGGAAAAAATCTACTATAAACGAATTAACTTATGACAAACTCGACTAACTCTAGCACTCTTGCGGCGACTCTTTTTTCCTTATTCCATACTCGAACTCAAGGACTTCTAACTGACCTATAAAACTAACCACTTGGCATTTTGATTTTTAAAAACTCAATTATAGTACAATAAGTAACAAATGGATGAATTTGTTAGCCACAACCCAAGTAACAATTTAGAGATATTCATCAGAGCATGAATTTGCTGTTCATCACAAAGTAGTGACCAGCCGACTTCAGTTTCCTAATCATAGGAGACATGATCCTCACATGCTGTATGATATTGTGATTATGTGGATTATTGTAAGTGTCAAACTGAATAGTTAGCTATCTGAGTTTAGTCATCTGGAAACTGTTCACCCTCGTTAATGAGATCGTGTAAAAGGGAACTTACAAAAATCGCACAAGCAGTGGAATCTTTATTTTTTCATGTCTAGTAAGTTTCATGATCCTTTCTCTGTTGAGCAATTTGACCCACCCTTGGGTCTAACATCATGTCGTTAATGCTTCAAGACAATCATATTCCTCTAGCACATACCAAATTTTATGGCACCAAGTGTTACAGTTATCGCCACTTAATTTATCATCCTTATTAAGGTCATCAATGATATTCTTAGATGACATGGTCTCTCAAAATTTTAGAGACAATCATATAATCATTCATTTATGCGCACATATCATTTTGCATTCATGAGCATCAGAGATCTGTTTGTATCAATTTTATGGTGAGTGTTAGCGTGAGGTGTTAGAAAGGATTGATTTTTGGCAATCGAATCAATCTATCTTAGGCAAGCAAATTGTAATCTCCCTATCAAGGGAATATAATCTGTACAGCCCAAAATTAGGTTGCAGTTTTTCCTACTTAATTGTACTCTCCTAATCTCCTTATTGTAAAGATTATCAATGAAAAAACCATTTGTGATTGCAATTCTAACAAGGAGAACACAGGAACAACAAGAAAACTGGAAGATATTAATTTGTGTTGAACCAAAGAATTTATTTTCAAATAGTCCTTCAAAATGAAAGACGAACAGGTAAAAAGAACTAACGACCCATTTGACAAAGGTTTTGAAAAGTTAAAATTTTCTTCCTAGACAAAAAAGCTGATTTTGAATCTGTTTGCATAATTTTCTGAAAATGTTTTGTTTAACCAGCAGAGTTTTTAGAAAAAGTTAAAGAGTAAATTAATTTTCTCATAAAACTCTTTTACAACAAGTAAAAACAAAAGCAAAAATCCTAGCACAGACCCTAGAAGTATTCGTGTGAAGCAACAACAAAAACCATAATAGTTGGTCGGTGCATACATCTTCATCCTTTCCATACCGTGAATTAATCACAAGGACCGACAAACCGTCCCATATGATTAATGATCTGATGAGTCATAAATAACGTGTTTCAGTTTAGTCAAACGCGATTCTAAGTAGAGATATGAAAAAGAATTGAGTTGTTCAAAAGGAGGTACCCAGAAGAAGAAATTGCCAGTACTCGTAGCAACGGAAAACATGTCAGCCATGAATTAACACACACGTAATTTGGTGGACTCAATTGACATACAGTAATAATCTAATTAATTGATAATTATTCTCGTGAGATTACTAATCTGAAATTTTCGACAGCCGGAATTGAGAACAAACATTCCAAAGTTCAAGTGCTATGTTATTCAATAGGAAACTTCCTTGTCTTATCGAGTGCATAAACTAATAAACTTCACACATTCATATTCCATTTTTGAATAAAATTTCATCTCTAGTGATCAATAATTTATCTCGTCTTCAATATTTGACATCCAATTTACTTGACGGGATACTGTTATTGAATTGTTCCGTATGAAATACGAACATCCTTCTAAGTTTGAGTGTCAATATTTGATGCAGAATGTCAAGTGCTATGTTATTCAATAGGAAACTGCCTTGTCTTATCGAGTGCATAAACTTCACACATTCATATTCCATTTTTGAATAAAATTTCATCTCTAGTGATCAATAATTTATCTCGTCTTCAATATTTGACATCCAATTTACTTGACGGGATACTGTTATTGAATTGTTCCGTATGAAATACGAACATCCTTCTAAGTTTTGAGTGTCAATATTTGATGCAGAATGTCAAGTGCTATGTTATTCAATAGGAAACTGCCTTGTCTTATCGAGTGCATAAACTTCACACATTCATATTCCATTTTTGAATAAAATTTCATCTCTAGTGATCAATAATTTATCTCGTCTTCAATATTTGACATCCAATTTACTTGACGGGATACTGTTATTGAATTGTTCCGTATGAAATACGAACATCCTTCTAAGTTTTGAGTGTCAATATTTGATGCAGAATGTCAAGTGCTATGTTATTCAATAGGAAACTGCCTTGTCTTATCGAGTGCATAAACTTCACACATTCATATTCCATTTTTGAATAAAATTTCATCTCTAGTGATCAATAATTTATCTCGTCTTCAATATTTGACATCCAATTTACTTGACGGGATACTGTTATTGAATTGTTCCGTATGAAATACGAACATCCTTCTAAGTTTTGAGTGTCAATATTTGATGCAGAATGTCAAGTGCTATGTTATTCAATAGGAAACTGCCTTGTCTTATCGAGTGCATAAACTTCACACATTCATATTCCATTTTTGAATAAAATTTCATCTCTAGTGATCAATAATTTATCTCGTCTTCAATATTTGACATCCAATTTACTTGACGGGATACTGTTATTGAATTGTTCCGTATGAAATACGAACATCCTTCTAAGTTTTGAGTGTCAATATTTGATGCAGAATGTCAAGTGCTATGTTATTCAATAGGAAACTGCCTTGTCTTATCGAGTGCATAAACTTCACACATTCATATTCCAATTTTGAATGAAATTTCATCTCTGGTGATCAATAATTTATCTCGTATTCAATATTTGACATCTAAGTTACTTGACGGGATGCTGTTATTGAATTGTTCCGTGTGAAATACAAACATCCTTCTAAGCTTGAGTGTCAATATTTGATGCACAATGTCACGTGCTATGTTATTCGATAGGAAACTTTTTTGTCTTATCGAGTGCATAAACTTCACACATTCATATTCCAATTTTGAATGAAACTCTAGTGGTCAATAATTTATCTCGTATTCAATATTTGACATCCAAGTTACATGATGGGATACTGTTATTCGAGGGCATAAACTTCACACATTCATATTCCAATTTTGAATGAAACTCTAGTGATCAATAATTCATCTCGTATTCAATATTTGACATCCAAGTTATTTGACGGGATACTGTTATTGAATTGTTCTGTATGAGATACAAACATCCTTCTAAGCTTGAGTGTCAATATTTGATGCTTATTATATGTGACCATGACATTATGTGAAATTTGCAATTCTTTTATTTATTTTTCAAAACTTTGATACGAGCACCACTTTCTTGACACCCTTCTGGCATTGGTCCGAAATATATGGTGTCCCATGTTCCGAATTTAAGAAATTTGACTTGCAAAATCAAACTCAAAGATATAAAAAAAACTATATATTTATGATTAAGAAGTAATATATGTATATATAATTATAAAAGAATTTAATCAACATGTTTTGTACGTATTCTTTGCTATTCGATTTTTAAAAAAAATTACGTATCAATTCGTTCATATTGATTACTTATCGTCTTTCTTTGCAGTGTGGTATGAGCGATAAATTTGAAGTATAATTGTCTACCGTACTGGATACATTTCGTATATGTACCTTGTCAGCTAACTTCTCCAGATTTGTGCCCTATAAACGCGTTGTGTACGATCATAATCAAGAGAGATGCTCTTAAATAATCAATAAGGATAAAGAATTACCATTAACTAACAAAACAACTCATGAATCGTGATATTACGTAAACTTCACGCAATACCCACATAAAATGACATGTCCATTTCATTTCGTCTTCAATCACGTAAGCAATTACAATTGATCATCAACAAAAAAAAAAAAGACAATGTGGAAAGCGGGTTTTCTGTCCAATTTTTTCTCACTCCATTGCTTATATATACATGTGCGTGTCTCCTCGTTCTCTTCACTATATTCTTAGAAACAACTTTCATTGCTCAAGAGTATACATACATAGTGCTCTCTCTCTCTCTCTCTCTCTCTCTCTCATATTGGAATTAAGTGAAAATGGAGTTTAAGAGTGGAAATACCCAACTTCTATCCAAACTAGCATCCAGCGATCAGCATGGAGAAAATTCTCCATATTTTGATGGATGGAAAGCATATGATAATGACCCTTTTCATCCTACTCAAAACCCTAATGGAGTTATCCAAATGGGCCTCGCTGAAAATCAGGTATTTTGCATATTGTTGTTCCATAATAATTTCTTGGCTTTCCTTTTCCGGGAAGAAAATTATGCATTTTGAGTTGATTTTTGTTCATTCTCCCATTATTTGATTTTAAATTGCAGCTTTCCTTCGACTTGATTGAGGAATGGATTAAGAAAAATCCCAGAGCGTCAATCTGTACTCTCGAAGGAGTTAACGCGTTCAAAGACATTTCCATCTTTCAAGATTATCATGGCTTGCCGGAATTCAGAAATGTAAGAAAATGCCATAAATTTAGAGTCGTCTACGTCAATTATTTTTCGTTCTGCTCAAATCATGCTAACACGTACGTTTACATTATTTCATGCAGGCCGTGGCGAAGTTTATGGAAAAGGTGAGAGGCGGTAGGGTTACCTTTGTTCCCGACCGAATAGTGATGGCCGGTGGAGCCACCGGAGCTAATGAGCTGTTAATGTTTTGTTTGGCTGATCCTGGAGATGCATTTTTGGTCCCTTCACCTTATTATCCAGCGTACGTACAAAAAATCAATTGCATTTTATTCTTTATTATGCTACTCCATGTCCCAAGACAACTTTTTCAGGCCAAGACAAACATATTAGTACATCAATAGTCCCTTTTTTCTTGTGTCTGCTAGCCTAAAGAACGAAACATTTCATCCATAATAGCAAATATTTTCGAGGACTGAGAATTTACATATGGATATGCTTTCCATTTTAATATAGTAAATGTTATAAGTTAAATCCTAACCTCCTCTTTTTAGATTAATATGAAAACAGAATGAAATCAACGATACGCAAAATAAAGAAATTGACCTTACGTACATCTACTTGTCGCTTTAGAGTATAAAGTTTTTTCTCACTTCTCTCATGCAATCAAAACAGGTCCCATGAAATACAGTAATGCAGTAAGAATATTAGCGCAACCTAATACAGTCCAAACAGACAAACATATCTCCCTAAAATTCTCCGTTTTGTCCTTTGAAATGGAGTTGTGTACATGTGTTGAGTCGGTAGCAATATTGTCTTAAGAAGAATAAACGGAGAAGCAGAAAATTGGAGACAGAGGACTCCATTTTTCTCTCTGGACCCCACCACCTGAGTAACGAATTCCAGACAAAATTCTCCTACGATGGTGAACCGCCAAATCTTTCAAAACCAAACAGGTCACAGCTGGATATTAATTAAGAATATTTCCAAACTCGTGTTTTACTTGAAACACAGTTATCCAATTCTACAAAAGTCAAGAAATGAAGGAGTTGAATTTTGACCATAAAACGTGTAGTTCAAATTAATTGTTGATTTTTACTTAAATTTTATTTTCTTTTTTTAATGGAACCAAAAATGGGCTAAATATTCCTTTGACTATAGGCCGACCTAATATTCGTAAATAGATATTACGAATTAATTCATAACATAAAAAAATTTCAAGTCATATTATATGGGAAATAAATACTCTAGGTAATATTATCTGGAACAGAAATCTAATTAACAGGCTATTTATATTACAGTCAGAATATGCATTAAGATCACTTGCTTATAAGTTTGAAATTTGATGGTTACAGATTTGATAGGGACTTGAGCTGGAGAACTGGGGTGAAACTACTTCCTGTTGCGTGCAAAAGCTCGAATAATTTCAAAATTACGGTACAAGCACTCGAAGAGGCATATAAGAATGCTAAGAAAGCTAACATCAAAGTGAAAGGCCTCATAATGGCAAATCCGTCGAATCCATTAGGTACCACGATGGACAAAGACACACTGCGAAGCCTGGTAACATTCATAAATGAAAAGGAAATTCATCTAGTGTGTGATGAAATATATGCAGCCACGATTTTTCGTGCTCCAAATTTCGTTAGTATCTCCGAAATAATTGAAGAAATGCAATGCAATCGTGATTTAATTCACATTGTCTATAGTTTGTCGAAGGACATGGGCCTTCCCGGGTTCAGGGTGGGCATAGTGTACTCGTACAATGATACAGTTGTAAATTGTGGACGAAAAATGTCGAGCTTTGGATTAGTCTCATCCCAAACACAACATCTGCTAGCAGCAATGTTGGCAGACGAGGAATTCGTTGAAATGTTTTTAGCAGAAAGCTCGAGAAGGCTTGGAAACAGGCACAAGATCTTTACCAGGGGACTTGAAGAAGTTGGAATAAAATGCTATCTTTCGTTACGACCGGAAAAGACCTGGATGGATTTGCGTCCATTGCTCAGTGAGCCTACATTTGAAGGTGAAATGGCACTATGGAGAGTAATAATCAACGACGTAAAGCTCAATGTCTCTCCAGGATTATCGTTTCATTGTGTAGAGCCAGGGTGGTTTAGGGTTTGCTTTGCAAATATGGATGATGAGACAACGGAAATTGCTCTTCAAAGAATTCGAACTTTTGTGGGAGAAAGAAAGGAAATAGACACACAGGAAAAGAATAAGCGATATAAGAAGATTTGTTAAGGAATATAATCCCACATCGAATAAAGATGTTGACACAGACCAATTAATAAAGATCTTGGGTTACTCCTCTTAATAAGGTTGACCTTTTAAGATGGACCCTCAAATCTTAATAT